TGCTAAACTTGGCACACTACCACGAAGGTACGTAGTTGGAGACTGGTTCGAATTTCTTAAATATTTGGGAAAAGAAACCTGAGATGGTTGCTTCCCTTAGTGGAAGACCATGCGCATTGGAATGAACAGCTTGTGGGCTCCTGTGTAGGAACATTGATGCCGCTTTCTTGGGAAACACTTTCTGAAACCTGGTTTCCAAGGAATCAGGTAAAAGTTCATTGACGATTCAATTCGGTAGGTCGAAGTCGATGTTATATTATGCGCACCACCAGTGTGACAAGAGAACCCGATTATCTTGCGGTGGGAGGGGGTGTGAATCGTCCCCGGAATTTCCACGCCTTCGCCAAGGGAATGAACAATCGAAATTAATGTAGGGAACAGGTGGTTAGTAGAGGCAAACAAACATTCGAGGACTCCAACTAGTCTCGATAAGGTTTACCGGTGCCTTATCTGCTGGGTGCGTCAGAAAAATTCACTGGTCTATATGAACGAAGCCTTTTGAAAGGTCTAGGTAGGTTATATTGACGTCTAGTCCAGAACCCATCAGCTCGGTTGAAATTTATGGCTATAAAGTTGGATGTCATGAGTGCTGCTTGCGGAAGGCCTGCTCTCCCAGGACTAGAAAGTATACTGTTTGGGATAATCCTTAACTCTGTGGATTGCTATTACATTGGGGCGAGATGGCCCAACTGGTTGGAGTGCGAATTTACTGACAGGAAGATTCATGCTTCAAACCCGACCTGTGCCTCTCAAACACCCGTCTAGGCTTGACCAACCTGGCAGTATCCCAGCCCTCGTGCAACCTACGGGTGGCATGACAGTTAGGCACAGAAAGCGTGCGACAGCTGAACGATTTCTTTTGCTATGACATGCAGAATTCTGAATGTCATTGATAAGAATGCTACAGATCGATAGTTGCTCGCCTGACCTGAGTATGGATGGGTCATTCTCCGTTTCCACATTGGGAGAACTGTATTTTTCACCAGCCGGCGCCAGAAGTGAGCCAAAGGTCTGGTCAGCTAATCCCTTGGGACGCAGAGTGCACCCCACCAACGGAACTGTTCGGTTACAACGGGAGCAGTCTCCTTCGCACAGCCCATGAGATACAAATCACTTGGATCGGTTCGCTGAGATGATCCATAAATGTGGGGTCAATACTGAAATCCCAACATTCTACATTGGTCATTCAGTATCCCAAGTTCAGAGAGAACGAGGTACAGATCATCCAGCGAGGCCTGCGGATGAAGTCCAAATAATTGTATTCCGAACTCCCAGTCGGTTCACATGATGAACCTGAAAAGGTGAAACGCTAGTGAGCCGTCGACCTTAAGAGTAATGTCACATGAATAACATGCTCTGTAGCTTCAACTTGTATGCATGGCACAATTTTGAATCAGCGCAAAAATATAGGAGACATACTACAGAATTTCAGGTACTTTCAGTTATGGCCTCAGAATAGGCTAGCTCGAAAACACGACCACCAAAGGAAACGATATCATCAACATGTCATGTAGCGGTGCTTTCGTCATTTGAGCTACCGATATTTCAATCAAAATAAACTTTTTAGGCATTCTGAGATATCCGCTGTCGTGTTCTCGGGTAGACGACGCACGAGCGCACACGTGTAACTGACGCCGAGTCGACAGGGGTGGTATTCAGTTGGCAGCAAGTAAGTGATTGACTCTATGCTGTTCAGATGCACTGGAATGACAGCTAACAGTGTAACGGAGGAGACCCAACCACGCTGTTTGGCAAGTGCCATGCCACGCTCCCCTCTCAGGAACTCGTCGCCATCAAGGATTTGAAAAGGAAGACAGGCTTCTCTGGCACAAGCACATACCCTAGCGTTCTTAACCTTGCAACTTCAGTATGTTGCCGCTCTAGCGATTCCGATCTACTGCTGGTAATTCGTTTACACAGCTGTAACCAGTTAACGCCTGCTATACTACGGAGACATCGGTGACCGAATATCGAGGACCATCTGAGGTCCCCAGAAAGAAGCAACCGAGTCTTATTACCATGGGTAAAACTTCTCACAGTTGTTTTGCAGACACGATCATTGAGCATGAAAACTCTAAAGATGATTAAAGCTGGCGAATATCGCGATACAGCACGGCCTCGGTTACCGACAGCCGTGAACCGACCGCTAGTCTTGAAGCTTTGAGCGACGGATGATTAGAAGTACTGAAGTAAAACCACATTTTCAAGGGATGAAAAGGTGCGATCGCAAGACCGAAAGAGGGGAAATGGCAACTCTGATGAGTCGCACTAGTTGTGGGGTTTATGTACTTGCAGAAACAGGGAAATAAAGGATACCAGAAATATTCACACACCTAACAGCTACCCCCTTTCTGCCAAACTGAAAATGGAATCGGTATCTTTGAAGTCCAACAAAACGACAGCATGGCTCTGCTTAAGCAAGCACCTGGCGCCATGTAATGATACGAACAATTTATCGCCCAGCCGGCCAAAACCCTTTATGGCGATCGGACCGGTAGTATTAAGGCCACTCCCTTAACGACCACACTTTCTCGGTTTTCCCAAAATGGTGTAAGGTGAATAATGTAATATTGTGGTCCCTCCATTAACGCGCCTTTCCAAAGTGAACAGAGGGCCTTCTCCACACGAGGATGCCTCGAAAGAGGCTATGGCTCATTTCCGAGTTTAGTTGCATGAAGAGAGATAGACTCACAAGAAGGGTGATTCCAAGAGAATTGTGGTTTGATCACTTGGGCTGGAAAGTATCTTTCGTGCATATGTAAATTCAAGCACAGAGAGGCAAGGCTTAGGCTATCAATACGAGGTGGCAATAACGAGTATTTGTTTGAGAAACGCTGGTCTAAATGTCGGTAGTGCTCTCAAGTCAATGCAACGATACAATTCGGAGTAACACAGCCAGATGGAAACTACTGACGAGGGGATCATCCAACCCACGAAGGGTTACCTCAAGGCATTTTGTTTGATGAAACATGCCGTGCGTGTCTCATGGTCGAAGACTTAAACTGAACCGTATTAGACGTAACTTTGCACATGTAGATTTTACCAGCTATCCCAATCAGCATTTCAAAAAGCTGATTTTAAAAATGTGGCCCTCGCCAAGGTTACGGCGCAAGGTATGAACAATCCTACCGATGGTGGTATCTACTTCCACAATGTATAAGCTATGAATAATAAGACTGTGGGTCGGACAACAAACCTAGATGTAAAAAAATCATCCAGCTGTAGCACCCTTTTGGTGTCTAGCTGCCATGCCACACGGAGGCACGAGGGATGGGATACTGCCAGGTCGCCCAAGCCTAGACAGGGGAATTCGAGTGGTAGAGGTCGGGTTCGAACCACGGACCTTCCGGTCAGTAAATTCGCGCTCTAAACACTTGGACCATCTCCCGCCACGACACTATCTCGTGTTGTTCCCGGCAAATTGGTAGGATAATCGCTAATGGATCCTGGGGCCATATTGAGTAGTGCCCAAATTAGTTACACAGCGAAATTCTATAAAAGTCCGATTCAAATAGTACCCCTTATCCACAGAGAGTGTGTATCCAAAGGGCGTGTGAAGAAAAGTACGACAACTCGTTAAAGACCGCTAAAAACCACTTACGCAGGGTCGACCTGGTTTCTCACGACTAACGGTTGGACTCATCGGTCCCAGAAGCAACACATTTCTACAATGAAGTAATGACTCGTTCTCGTTCTCATTCAATTAGTTATTAGACTGTGATTAGGTGGAAAGATTATTGCTCAGTGATATTGTAATTGACAACTAGCCGAAGTTCAAAATGAAGGGAAGAAAATCCTACACAGAGTACAAAGTGGGTCCACACAGAAGAGTTGGAGCCGAATAACATGACAGTCGCATTCGAGGGACGGACGGCAACAACTGAGCAGAGGGCTGAGCACAGTGGCTGAATTGAACAGGTGGAAATCGAAGACTATTTGAGAATATTCTGCGAGCGTCGGGGTTAGAAGTCTCCAAAAGGATGAATATCGTTAGGCGCCAAGTTCCCGCATAAGGTTTAAGGCACTACCAGCTCTGAACCAGCCGAGCTGATGCTCATTGAAGGTGTGCGCAAGGGAGATTGTCTCTTCGGAGCCGTCCGCATGGTGGATGATGCAGCGGACAGGCTGGAAAGAATAAACGGACGGGAGCATTTGCACAATTAGCTCGCGAGTGTAATGTTGATTTGGAACGCCAACGATCGAAAAACGCCACTAATCGTGGGCATCGTCTATTATCCTTAGAAAATCTGCATTTTCGATTTTTTTTTGAAGAGGTGAAACAGTGTGGAAGGCGAAAAACATGTTATATATGGAAGAGCAACAGCGGAACACGGATACTATCAGACTAAACTGTTAAACCAAATGGTCTATCGCACATAGAGTGATTTAGGGTGACATGGAGTATTGTATTCTGCAGGCCACAAAACAGTTCTAGCTTACTGAGAAATGGATTGCTGTAAGACCTTGAGTGAACGGTGCTGCACTGTGTGCGGGTTTGACCTTGCTTGTTCCGTGTGAATGTCTGCAGGTAAGTCGCATGTACGCTAGTCAGCCTGTGAAAGAAGAACACAACCAGAAGCTTCCTTGTCGAAGCAGGAAGTAGGTCCGTGCCTATGTACTTCAGTTAGAAATTCAGTCGTGAGCATAAAAGTTATAATTTGCCGTCCTTTCCGTCGATATCGATCGACTCTGCATAACTACAGGTCTACGCAGACCACTACTGTATCAATGTTCTCATGAAGATCACTCTTCTCTTGCGACCGGAGCACAAAAAACAAGGGAGCAACTGAACCTCCTTGCGACTCAGGACAAACAAACAACTAGAAATGTCCCTTGTAGAATTCGGATAAGAGCTGCTCTACACACGTGTTACCATTTACTTTCTCTGCAATTCATGATTAGCCACACGCGCAGAATTCACCGCAGACATCAAACCAATGAGGTTGGAGAAGATTGACGACAATCACAGGATAGCTCTAGCCACTTATGCGTTTACTCACCTGTCCAGGTTTGAGATTAGCCAGATCCACAAGTGAGATTTTGTCCGAAGGTTGAATTTTGTCATAGTCAGCAGCATTGACGAAAGTCAGAGGCAACATGCCCTGCTTTTTCAGGTTTGTTTCTGGGAGAAACAACAACAAAAACAAGTCTGTCACAGAATAGGAACAGTGCATCAGAGTTGCACATTGGAAAGAAATGGAATGACTAGAGAATCCATAGGACTTTGAAGTGCATGGAGCAGACAACGTACCGAGACAAAGGACCAATAAGCGTGTGTTGTACTTAACATTAATGTGGATGTGGCTATCACAATGAGCGTGTTTTTAACACGAACTGGATTTCCGAAGCACATAATTTGGTGTTACACCTAATAAAAAGTTGTTTTATGGAAATCGTACTCCTCATAGGTTGATCTCGTTCGCGGGCAACAAACGATTAGATGATATTTTTGTATTCTGGTTGAAGCTCACTGTATGAATTTACCACGAGATCAACCTTATTAACGAATCTAGTGGAAAAAAACCTCGAAGTGAAAACAGATTTGATGCAGTATAGAGGTAGTCAGTTCGGTTACTTATTACGCAGCCAAAAATATGCCTCTTTTAGCCTCATCACCGCCTTCCACAAGCTATTCATGGGCTCACGCTTGAGTTTGTGCACTTCAGCAAGGTCCGGTGTTGAATCGATGAAAGCTGATGCACCCCTACTTATTGTGACTCGTGCATATACCATCAGCACGGTGAATTACATCAATTTCGATTTTCACTTTATTGTTTGGACACAATAACGTTATGCTGTGAGTCTGAGAATCTTGATGTCACCAACCACCAACTACACTATCTGAGCTGAGAAACCTATTTTATATTGCACTAAATATTCTCTAGAGATGTATGACGTTGGTTTCAAATGAGCAACTATCAACTCTTGTGGAAACTACCTCACACTGCAGTTCGGTTGTGTCGGCAGGTGACCAAGTATTGATAAATTGGAATGAAAGCCACACAATACATAGAAGTTAAACATAAAGTTTATCAGCGGATCTACACGTGATATGTTTGGTAACGCCGTGTGACTGACTTCCGGCTATAAGCTAAGTAGATCAACGACCACAAGCCGTTGATGGTGCGAATTCCAATCGTAACTGGCTCAGACATAAACCATATCCCGACCAGGACGGAGCTACTTTGGTAGATGTTCGTTGAACACGTTACAAACGTTTCTATGAGGAACGTTGAAATGCGCACAAAAATGAGAACTCCCCCGGTTATCAAGAATTCACGGAGCATGAAGAGATTTTGAAGGTGGCTGCAAGGTCGGCTATGAGGCTTCAACCAGGTATGTGTCGGATATTTTTCTCTTAGAATTTCAGCAGTCATGACACATGGTGTCTTTGTATTAAGGCAACACCAAAACAAGCAGGCACATTGTAAGCTACCTCACAAAGTCGCACAATCCCTCTGCTTACTAATGGCCAACTTAAACTTGCAAGCTTAAAGAGAAGTTCAGCTCTTGAGATCATGATATGGTACGATACCACGACAGACTAAAAAGTCCTCCAGTAGGATCAAGCATGAAGACAGAAATCGAGGGGAAGACCTCTGCATCATGACTGGCAGATTGCGATTTTGGCTGTTGGGAAACATTTTACACGGTTCACTTTGTCATCATCGAGTAAAAGTAACTCCCAAAAAAGCCTGGAGAGACCGTCGCCTTTTGAGACATCGATGTTTGTGGTTCGATACCTCAACCAAATCGAGGTTCTCTGTTGTGTCTTGATGGACAGTCGTGCAACTCCGTATCGGTCCCTTGGCTTCCTGCTCCGCCAACTATGGTATAAAAGGCACGGTAGCTCTCGACAGCCCTTTATGGAGACAAAGGAAAATTAGTACAACTGTATTTATAGGGTAGTCACAGTGTGTTCCACAAGGTCGTGCCAGAATCTCTGTGAGGAGGTGAGAAGAGTCGAGTCACAGGTGCCTGACTCGGATTGGCTGGCATTCTGACCAATCAGGGCGTGCCTTCGTTTGGCCCGTGTCCTGCACGTGACACATCCGTCCAAATGGTGCTGTTCGGTTATTAGGGACGGCTGCCCCCCGAACATTCTCTCTTTTGAACTATTTCAGCTCGAGAAATACACTCATCTGCAAATCAATTTGGTTTTCACGGGAGACTCAATTGAATCTCTCGTTTATGATGTTCAGCTCGAGATAGCACAAAGTGCTAGCTTTTAAATTTGGTGGCTCAAATCTATCCCTCGCACTCGCACTGTCTCAGTTTCCGTGGCCCCACAACAGACAGGCAATTGCTTTAACACATTCAAACGAGTCTCGAATGATCGTTTCTCTTAGAATTTGCGGGCCGAAATAGGCTCGAAGGGTGTCAAGAAGATTGAGCGCCACGAAACAGGCAATCCCATTCGTCCTATCGTGGGCTATACTACTTGCTCAACGTACAACTTATCCAAATGCTTGAGCAGTTTGTTGAAGCCGTACCATCAGCTGGTAATAAGTCACGCAAATAACCCTTTTGATCTTGTCAGTATCCTACAATCTACCCAAATCAATGACGATGAAGTAGCAATCAGCTTTGATGTGACAGCTCTTGACACTAGCGTACCAATTAACGACTGTTTATCTTTCTCTCTTCTATATTGTGCGACGATACATCTCTAGCACAGAGAATAACCTTAAACCCTGTTGATATCATTACTAGTGTCGAACTGCGTCTAAGCACCACGTATTTCACCATTCAAAACACGCTTTACAGACAAACTGACGGTGTCGCTATGGGCTCTCCAGTATCAACCATAGTGGCTAATCTTTTCTCACACTATAAGGCCTTAGGTGCTTCGCCCATCCACCATGCACCTGGCTGAGATATTTTGACGACACATTTTCGATCATATCAACCACAAAACGGCAAGCCCCTCTAAACTGCATAGCAGTCGTTCAGCTGTAACACCCTTAGGGTGCCTAGCTGCCATGCCACCCGAAGGTTGCACGAGGGCTGGGATACTGCCAGGCTGCCTAAGCCTACACAAAGGTAGTCGAGAGGCAGAGGTCGGATTCGAACCACAAACCTTCCGGTCAGTAAATTCGCGCTCTAACCACTTGGACCATCTCGCCCATTTCTAAGCTACTTGAATGAACAATGCAGTAGTATACAATCCACGACTGAAACTGAGGACGTGCGGAAGACCATTAGTTTCCTGCACTGAAAGCTCTCGGTTAACGCTAACCATGGATTTTCAGTGGGAATTAACAGAAAACCTACACAATCAGACAAGTATTTTCATTGAGCCTTCGCATCCACACTACGTCAAACACGCAGTTGTAGGATCGCTGATGAATCGCATCACGAAACTATGCTCGGAGGAACTCATGCGAGCAGACGAACCGACGCGACTCAGAAGGGTATTACAGCGAAATGAGTACCCAGTGAGGATCGTTGCCCAACAGGTGAAAAGAATGTTACTCGGAACGGTGAGACACGAAGACAAAAATCCGATGGTCACCATGGGAATACTCTATAGAGTTGGCACTTCAGATGCCATTCGAAAAACACTTCGGAATTACGATATTAAAACATTTTACCGAATTGACGACACGTTAGAAAGACACGGTACAAACTGCGTCTAGCGAATTCCCTGTGCAGATTGCTCAGCCAAATACACAGGCCAGACAGCTAAGCAACTCCAAGTACGGATCACGGAGTACAAACAACATGCGTTTTTTCGTCCAAGAAACCCAATAGAGTTGAAAAAACCGGAACGCGAGTCAGCCATTGCCCTACACACATTTAAGTCAAACCATCAAATCGATTTTAATGGTACGCGTACACAGTCAGGATTCAAGTCGCATGTGGAACGGACGTGTGCTGAGGCCCTAGGGATCAGCCCACAGCCGAACTGCATCAGTCGGAGTGATGGTGCCAGCATCCCATCTATCTGGATTGGACTTACTGCACACCGTAGCGGGCATAGTAACCACATGTCAACCAGGGATCTCAAAAATGACGCATCACAGCCCGCACAACAAATGGAAGCACATCCTGATCAGAGTACACATAAAATTACACGTACACGCACCCACGCACGTTGACTCAATCTGACTGTCAAATGATCACAGAGATGCACCAATCAGAAGACATGGTAGAGGACCCGAATGTCGCTGCATTTGACTCGTATTCAGTTGACTGTAGAAATCCTTGAAAAAGGTCGCCCACGGCAACCCAAACGTCGGATTACAATAACCTATTCCACTACGCTGTGCTTTGACTTCGTAATTAATTATTTATTTATTAGAAAAGCGTTTTTCATTCACAATCCCTGAGCTTTATATGCACCATCCATGCGCTTAACTACAACAAGGTCATATGGGAATTTCACTGAGAAGTCGTCACTCGCAGAGCCAACCAACACCAGATGACGTGATGCAAATAACTTTCTTGAAACAGGGGTGGAAAAAAACTTCTGTAGACGAAAGTTAGTCCATTGTTGACCATGGAATTGCTGTTGGATGGTGGGTTGTTCGGATTTCTACCCGGAATGTTGGTGTTCCGAATGGTATTCGGAATTCGTGAGATGCACACAGCTGAATAGTCTAGCTGCTGCATCGAACCACCCAGTGGAAAAACTCTTTCTCCATCGCCAACCGAGAGGGAACATCATCCTCAGAGGCTACATCAGCAATAGGCAATTTTGCACCCAGACACTGTTAATTACTCAGATCAAGAAACTGGTGTTATGTAGTTCCGATTCGAAATGAGGGTATGCGTCGAAGGGTGGACACAAGATCACACAACAACAACAACTTCTGTGCCAAATAACTTAGGATATACTTACCATGAATACGGGCAAAACTCTTGACAATTATGGCTCGCCCACCCAAAAATCGTGGCTCCAAAGCGGCATGTTCACGACTGCTTCCTTCACCGTAGTTTTCATCTCCAATCACACACCACGCAACACCTTCGGATTTGTAGCGCCTGGCCACTGCAGGCACAGCATCCCAGGTGCCTGAAGGACGATGCATCACTTTATTCATTTCGTTGTTCTCTGCATTCACCGCACTGTGTGGGAAGAAACAGAGCGTCGAGGAATCAAATGAGAGGGCCCGAAGACTGAAACACTGATCTGGCAGGGTATCACAGAGGTTAGGTGGCTGGTACTCCACACAGCGATAACAATACAGTGAACACTAGCCTTCCTTCGAACCCGTTCAGCAGTTTAGATTCACGAAGCTATGCGAAACCCACCCAAAGATGAGATGCTCCGTACTTGAAAGAAGGCTTATCAACGGCAATTGAAGGGAACTTGAGAACACAAACTAGACCAACTAACAGAACGGATGGTCAATACCTTGACAACAAAGAAAGTGGGATATCCATGGAACCAAAACATTTTATGGTCCATGGCTGTATATGAGAAATTCAAGCGCTGATCATACTGCTTGAAAAGGTTCGGTTTGGTCAATTCAACTAATCCAGAAAATTTCGCCTGTGAAAAAATAGTGCTCACAAAGTTAGGGTGGCAATCGCATCACAAAGATCCGTATCTTACCCAATGAACATGTTATTCGAGATGTTGTCCAAATGCCCCCGGTATTTTAGCCATGGTCCGGCGGCGGAAATGTGGTCAGTGGTGCACTTGCCCTTAATCTTGATAAGTACCGTCATTTTCTCCAAATCCCGCCCATCCCACTTATTAAACGGCGCAAGGAGTTGTAAACGCTGACTGTTTGGATCGACCTTGACTGTTATGCCTGAACTATCAGTCGGTGGAGGCTGGTAAGTGTCTTCACCAGGATCGAATCCTCGGTTGGGTAACGTGTCACCTGTGGCAACAAGCCCAGAGAAACAAAAGCATACATAGAATGCATCATCCAACAATAAATGAGAGAGTATTTTCAAGATTTAAAACAAAACAACATTGACAGCAACTATCAGCCTTCGCGGATCCCTAAACAAACTATGGAACACAGCACGAACTTCGGGTGTCTGATTGTATGAAAAATGACCAACTAATGCTCTTCAAATAGGGTACAGTCATCTCCTCGAATAAGCAACCAATAAAAAACAACAATCAATCGTTCAGCTGTAGCGCCCTTCCGGTGCCTAGCTGCCATGCCACCCGGAGGAAGCACGAGAGCTGGGATACTGTCAGGTTGCCCAAGCCTAGACAGGGGAAGTCGACAGGCAGAGGTCGGGTTCGAACCCACCAACCAATAAAAGAGCTGTTAAATCCATTTAAACTCCCCACTTGTGCAGAATGAGTACCTGCCTCGCATCAATCGTATCGCTTAGCTGTAACACCCTTTCGGTGGGTAGTTGCCACACCACCCGAAGGAAACACGTGGGCCGAGATAATGTCAGGTTGCCTAAGCCTGGACAGGAACAGTCGAGACGCATAAAGCCGCGAACCTTTCGATCAATAAGTTCGCGCCTCGGCTATCCTGAGCTCACGGTGGAATGACCGGTAAAGAGTGGAAACGAAGACGTGTCGTGTGGGCTTATCGTGGGTTTACCCCCCTAAAACTCCTCTGTACAAAGCTGACAGGTCTCCATGTTTAGGTGGCAAAAGTGAATATTGACGAAGGATCTGCAGCTCGTGCCCAACGGTTTGGTAAGCCATGGCAACTGCAAAGTCTCAAGACCTACCTGTGGGTGGCTGTAGTTTGAACTTGCTCCCATCGGCTGCAGTCAGTTCGTCAGTTAAAGGGTTGAACGATAGGTCACCGCCGAAAGCCAACGCGGTTACTATTTCCGGTGAGGTTACAAAAGCATGCGTAGCAGGATTGGCATCGTTACGTCCGGTGAAGTTCCGATTGTACGAAGACACGATAGTATTCTTCTCACCCTTCTTGAAATCCTGTCAGGCAGAAAGCAAAGGAGTGTGGTATTCGTAGAAGCAGAGTCACAACGGGTGTTAGGAGAATGAGACTATGACAAGACGGCAAGACCAAAGAGATAACGAATTCCTTCAGTTGGAGTCGACGGATAACTTCAACTGAGATGTACACATGAGAGCAAAAGTGCCATTTTCGAGTGCAAGATGAGTGCAGTTTTTTGGGTCTAAAGCAGAGCAGTCTCAGCACACAGCTTCACGCAAAGCGAAGGTGCTGCGGTGACCTATTTGGTACTTACCTGAATGGTCGCTATGCAATTTCAATCATTTCGCAGCCGTTGTCAGGGTATTATTCATCCAGATGACAAGTGGTCCCACCTAGAGGATATTAGCAAACATTCCTGAGTGGTGTGGAGGAGGTGAATGGACTTATCCGTCAAAAAGACAAACCCAGCACATACAAGATTATCTCAGACTTCCAACATCAAGGATGTTTTCAGTTAACTTTCCTCCCTTCGAATCACTGGAGTGTATGGGGTGAATTGCAAAGGAGACAACACAGGGTTTCCATCTCTAACAATATCGCCGCCGATCGCCAAGTGTGTGCAGATGGAAACCAAGACCTTTATAAAACCAACTCAGCTGTCTCTTTTGAGGGGACCCTTTCGGAGCAGTCCAAGATGTATCCTCATGAGACTGACCATCTGATTCAATTTTTGGCCGGTTTCCGTGAAGGCGAGAGAACTGCCCGTTGCTTTCGGAGTAGATGTTCTCCAGACGTTCAAGACTATTGCAAATCCGTGATGCATACATATCAACGAAGCATGGTGAATCTGATTACTATTCGTTCGCTCCAGCCGTTTGGGTTATTAAAAGCTGCTGGTGTTCTCATCCAGCTGAACTTAGATAAGAACCACGAAAAGAGACGAAAAATTATCAAGAAGACGTGTTCCCATACAGCAACAAAACCCCCCGGCCCCTCAAACCTCGATGAATATTGAGTTATGGGCGTCATGACATTTTCTTACACTTAAGATGTGAGTTTGAAGGATGTGAAAGCGTACAATGCAGTCTATCCGCCTGTGTTTGGCTGAAAACATTGCAAGCAATGGCGGCCAATCAACGTCAAAGGCGTTCGTGTTGCCAGTTTCTTACAAGATTGCCTGACTGAGCGTTTGAGGATGCCGACAGCTCGGGATGTTTGCCATAGGGTAGCACGATGCCCCTCCCCACTCAAGTCTTTTCTCGAATTTCAGTTTAGGATTTTAAATGCAACTGAAAAAAACGCTGTGTTCGTACGGCGTGAAAGCAATAGCATCAACACTGATATGGTTGTCTATGATGGTGACCATCCTTGGGTTCTATTACCTTCAGTAGGCGACTCAAATGCGAAATGCTCGAAAGTATGGTGGTATGCGAGCTAAATCGTTGGCCTAGTCAAGCCAAATCTTGTCACAAATGGTTTCAGCCGGGTTTTCGGCATAAACACCTTAGGATGACGGTCAACCAGAAAGTATGGGTCAGTGTTATGAGGTAATTCAATTATGGTGTCTCTTCTTCAAGCAGGAAGTAGATCCGATATGTGGTCTGGAGGAATTCGTTCCCTAGAGGAGGGATTGCAGTGTGGGAAATTTCTATCAACCAAAAACGGTTTCGAACGTGAAAAACGTCCGAAAAGGGGGGAAAGTAACACAGAACTTGGTGAAGCAGCCAATGGAATAACTTACTGATCGGGACCACTGTCCAATGCATGGTCCACATGCGTTGGCTAAGACAACCCCACCGACCTTTTGGAATATGTCCGTAAGGCCATCTCGTTCAATGGTTGCCCGGATTTGTTCACTACCGGGGGTGACGAAAAAGTTAGAGCGAACCTTGATTCCGTGTGCCAAAGCTTGCTTGGCCAAACTGGCAGCGCGAGACATGTCCTCGTATGAGGAGTTGGTGCAGGATCCAATAAGGCCGGCAGCGATAGACAGTGGCCAACCGTTTTTCTTGGCAGTTTCTCCCAGCTATGAATGGAAGTAAAGTAAACAGACAACGAGCTGAATTGGCGCAGTAGACCAAATAATCTGAAGCGGTGATAAGAGACAGACAATCCGTTAGCGCTCTACGCAGGAATAGTTGTGCCGCTCATCGAATACGAACGGGAAACCAACAATATTATAAACACAGAGGAGAAAAGATGTTGCCATATTTGCGAAGGAGATCCATCATGTCACATCAGTTTAGTTCAAATGGGAAAATCACAGTACTATGCACATAGCGCCCAGTTCAAAGAAAGTTCCATGCATATATCTCAGATGTAGAATTTCGGCTGCTTTCTTTTTGTGTTTGGACAATTCGTTATGCGTATTTGCGACGCTGATCTTTAGCCTGCAGTTGATCAGCCCCAAATATCGAAAGCTTCAAGCTGTCAGAAAAAGGAGGTTTGTGTTAAATGATCACCAGGCAAGTTATTGTCCCACACATGGTATTTCATGAACAGTCGTCACACCTGACGTCACCTTAACTGGTAAGGAAATTGTAAAACCGTGAATTCCACGGAGTAAACTATGCAGTCTAAACAACCAACAGTTTCATCAAAAACTGATTCTTGATAGGCCAAGCTGTCCACTTTGATGTCAAATGAATTCAATTGTAGGCCCCGATTTAGGAATAAGGAACTGTTTTATGAATTGGTCGAACCCTGAATCAGTTGTGGCTAGCGCGTACAAAAACCAAGGACGGTAGATTCAATAAACGATAAATAGCTCACAAGGAACGATAATCCAGACGAGCGAAACTGAGAAAATCGTCACTTGAAGTGCCAGTCAACACGTGACTAAGTGATGTGAATTCTGTGTTTGAAAGAAGAATGGCGCCGTAAATTGCGAGTTAACAACATTGCTGACAAGCCTCTCGCTAGCTAGGAGTTGGCAAGTTCCAATCGCTTTGGATATGCGCACCACTGATGATACCCAACAAGAATGAAACAGCTGTGCTATGCTTCTCGGCCGCTTGGTTTAGGCTGACTTCAAGTAAGGGATGAGGTCGCCATTGGAACAGTTGCAGAGACCACACAGACTAACCACAAAAAACTAGACAGACTACTTAAGAATGGACAACTCTTTTTGCCGTTTATATGTTTTTATTGCTTGTGAAAATCTGTGAAACATCCAAGACAGGGGGATTCAAAATTGCACGCACCCTCCATCCTGTTGACTATACAGACTACACGATGCTTACGAAACCCCAATCATGGTTGTGTCAAACTGAAGCTGCGCACACATGTTGGCTAGTTTGTTACCTAATATGCTCACAGCACTGTATTTCACCCTGGAAACGAAGCACTTCAGTTCTATACAACGAAAAGATACCAAAGCGAGAGGATCCGTCGTGCAGATGAGCCCGTGCACAAGCGTTTTGTGGAAAACACGTGCATTTCACAATCACTAATCAACAGTTCATTGTTTATTTTGGGTTACGTAACGGAGACATTTCAGTTTAGTGCTACTTTTTATGCCGACCCGTTGTTGCGTCAAGTTGGCCAAAAAAACGGTGTCATTATGATTTGCACGTACGCCCTAAAACCCAATGGTCCCGCACTAATGGAAGAATCTTCACACAAACGGCCAACCTTATCAGCAGGCAGTTCCACCATCCCGAGTTCTTGACGGCAGTCTCAAAGTCATCGTACATTCACTACGGTTCCGGTAGATCTAATAGTTCCCGCTTCGTGATTTTCCTGCATACAAGCCCAGCTGGTTTCAAGAAATCAGACTTAACATTACAGGAAACAGAAAAAATCACTAAATGGTTTGAGGATATCCATGATTGAGTTGATCGTACCTTCACCGTTCACAAAAAGTCAAACTGAAAGGAAACCCAGAGGAAAGTTCTCTGACAAGCGTACATGTTAATTCTGTCCTGTGAACACATGCATACCATAGAGTTCAGGATCGGCTTAGGTGTGCTTAGTCCCCATCAAGAGGTCGTCACGCTTCGCTTTCAAAATAATACTTTGGGGTATCCCTCTATCACTGTGAATCCATTCTCCGACAAAGTTATGAGGCAAGCCAAATGGAGAATATCAGCGCCCTTCGTCTGGATCCGCGGCGTGACAGTGGGGGTGGTGACAAGGCCACAACGATTAGGAAACTATTCCCAAGCGAAGAGCTTAATTTTTTCAGGCACCTATTATTGTGGGTTTACAGTGCGTTTCGTATAGAGACCAACAGAATTCCAACTAGATGGTTGGGGGCCATGATTCTGGATACTCGGATTTTCCCATCCATCGCTTGAAAGTGAGCATTGTATGGTATCAGCCAAAGATGAGTAACAGAGTTTTCTTTGAAACCTCTGTTCTGGAACACTTATCGGAAGGAAAACTGAAGTTGCTTCAAAACGTACAGAGGTTTGAGGGTGTCCAATGACATGACAGTACAAATCGTCCAAACACGACACAGAAGTGGCCTACCTTCGAAATGGGATGCGCCAAATCGGGAGTGAATGGCCCGTTCACGTGCGGCTCCAATTTGTCCAGGTTAATTTCGATTACACGATCATATTTGCAGTTTGAATCAGCAGTCAGTAGCGTGTCCTTAGGGTAGGAAAAAACAGAATCAAGTTTCAGGGATTAGTTGCCAACAGCAATTCCCTGCTTCTAACGGCGATGTAATCCAGGGACTAGGAGGCACACGAATACCAATTCTCAACAATACGATACCCAATTTGTTTGAGAGATAACACTGAAAGACGAAGGATTTGTGAAGAGTTGAGTACCGGTTACCGCCGAATCCAACTGATGCACCAGACTGTACGTGGCACAACTTTTAAATGGTCAATCACCACGGGACAACAATCGAGGAAAAACTACAAAATGTCTTAAGCTCGGGAAGGCCCAGTGATTAGGGTACAAACTTGCCGATCTGAAGGTCAGCGGTTCGAATCTAACCCTAGCATCTGGACTGCTCCTGTCTATGCTCGGGCAATCTGGTAATATCTCAGCTCTCGTATTTCATTCGGATGGCAGCTAGACACCGAAAAGATGTGACAAATGGGTGATCATTTCACCTTCCACAAATCACCTCGACCAAGAAAGAATGACACTGCAGACCAATTGGATCGTCTGAACTTCATTCTACTGACAAAACCCTGCCGTAGTTCGGAGCTAGGATTCGTCAACTTATTGACCTAAAGTTTAACGATAATGCAGATATCGTATCACCAAAGACAGCACGCTTCAGAACACCTTTCCAATAGAATTCGAAAAATATGCGATGCGCCTCGAAAATGGATAAGTTAAAGTGATTCTTCGGAGTGGAAATAAGTGGTCTTCAATTGATATCCAAATGGTATTCGAATCAGGCCCGTGAACAGTCGGTGCAGTCAGTCACTAGTCGTTCAGTCATTGCAGGTTTTTGCTGCCTAGCTGCTGTCACCCGAACGAAGCACAAGGATTGAGATACTGCCACGTTGCCGAAGCCTAGACAGGAACAGTCGAGAGTCCGCGGTTGAATTCGAACTACGGACCTTCCGACCAGCAAGTTCGCGCTTTAACTACTGTGAAGAACAAGCATGAAAATATATTACAATTAGCTGAAGATCTAGACATCTGTTTCAGTGGATCCAAGAGCCTCAATCGTTCTCGCATTCACGACAATAGCAACGCTTTTATATCGATTTTTCTCCTAGGATGATGAAAGTTCAGAGCACCAGCAAATTAGGACTGTCATTCGTTGAACTGGAGAATAACGGAATAAAATGAAACGGGAACGGAATTTCTGTGAGGATGAAACGTGTAAGACTACGGCTTTTACAACTGACAAATTTACAAGTCACAGATGAGGTCTTTTGTGCATTAATGACTGAGAAAATTGCGTGTGTTCCAGGTCGCAAAACGATCGATCGAGTTGAGTTTCCGGTGACTGCATTACGAACTGTAAGGTACACCGGAATTCAGCATTCACTCATAACCAGGACTGGAGAAAGACAAGACAGTGTCCTAAGAGTACGATAGGAACGGCAGAAAACGACAAGTTAAACGGTATACAACAGAAGTGGCATTCAGTAATTTCTTATCAGTAACACCTGTGACACATTGAATTCCTGGAGCAGAGTTCCACTCCTCCACACGAAGATGTGGGGGACTGATACAGCACATGGGAAAAATAATGCACCGCTGGAGATAAACGTTAGGATTAAATCATCTCGGTGTATGGTATTCTTGGTGCTGTGACATGCGTAAGGAGCCAATGAGCTGCAGTTCAAAAGGTCAAACCATTCCTTGAGTTGTGGCAAACGAAGATTCCCCATTTGGACTTGCAATTTTACTGGGGAAGGTGTGAACCAAATAACCACTTCCTGGTCTCTGTCTCACTACTGTATGAATCCCTGGTATCTCGCGTCAAACAGACGGGTGCTTTTTTTGACACATTCGACCCGAACACCATGAAAACATCATAGCGCATGCGTAAAACACGACTATCCAACGAAAATACATTGTAGGGTAGAAGTCTGGACAAAATAAACCTTCTAATGACGTCGCACCCATAACGAGAATCACTGGTCACTTTGATTGACAACGTTGGTTCTCACAGTCAAGTCGCCTCCAGATCAGATTAAGACGTGCATAAATGGCTAAAATCACCCGTCTTTTCGGATTCCCGAGAGCAGCTGTATGCGTCCTTGGGCTGTAGTGAAATCCACGAGGTCAAACAGATGTCGAACGAACGGGTCAATCGACGAATTATCCAAGACAGCAAACAACAAGACCGTACGCATGGAGGAAACTTTTCTATTAATAGTTACCACAAAGGGATCACCTTGTGCTCTCTGGCCAGTTCAGCAATCCCCGCGCGATTGGTTGCCCGCAGGAAGTCGACCATCCGATCGTTGAAAGGAAACACCGAGGTGGTCGCACCGATTTCCGCACCCATGTTGCAAATGGTAGCCATTCCAGTGCAGGAGATGGATTCAACACCCGGTCCGAAATACTCCACAATGCTTCCTGTGCCACCTTTGACAGTGAGAATCTCTGCAACCTGAGGGGATACATAAAACAGTATCAGAGACATTTTTGGGATATTTTACGAGAATATTATCGAAGTTCATGAACCTACTTTCAGGATGATATCCTTCGCACTGGTCCAGCCAGACAATGTGCCTGTTAGATGGACGCCGATTACATTTGGGGCCTTCAGTTCCCAGGGGAGATTGGCCATCACGTCTACGGCATCCGCTCCGCCAACACCAACACAAAGACCACCAAGACCCCCTCCATTTGGAGTGTGACTGTCTGTACCGATGATCAGGGCACCGGGGAAGGCATAGTTTTCTAAGACGATCTGGAAGGGAAAGTGCGAAAAAACAAAATGAGTAGGAGCTGGATATCAGTTACGGGGTGGTGTTATCCGTCCAGTAGTTCAACTTTACACATTTGTCAATTAATGTCCTTTCCATCCAGCCAATTTGAGCACTTGTCGCTAAAGTTCAGTTCAGTTTCCAGCTCATAAACCGTGCGTCAGAATGTGGTGGTTCCAGTTGATACAGCGACAAGCTGATCTATCGACGGAGAATGAACTTTCTCGAAAACCACCTGGTGTAACTCAGCAGTACTGATATGATGTTCCCACCTCATCCGCAAGATGCTTCGGAGGCGCTGGTGGCCAAACGCAAAGAGCCTACGAGGGTCTTCCAGATTGCTCAAGTGAAACGGACTCGTCCATTTTACAAAAAAGTCGACGGATCGCACAAACTAGAGCCTAGGTTATGGCCTTTCAAAAACTTGATAGTGTTTGCATGTGTCACTGAAAAAGGGAGAAGCACTCCACTGAAGACACAAGATGGAGGTACAGTTGTTAAATAAGGCGAAGAAACTAAACGACGCAATTATGTTGGGGACAGACGTACCTGATGAATAATGCCTGAACCAGGCTTCCAAAAACCAATACCATATTTTGCGGACGCTGACTGCAGAAAATCGTAAACTTCCTTGTTCGATACATTGGCTCTGTCCAAGTCAGAACTGGCTCCATCTCGAGCCTCGATCAGGTGATCACAGTGGACAGTAGTTGGAACAGCCACTCGTGGAAGTCCACTACTGACGAATTGCAAAATCGCCATTTGAGCAGTGGCATCTTGCATGGCAACTCGATCCGGCCGAAGTAGAAGGTAACTGGCACCGCGTTTTATTTCCTTGGACAAAAATTGAGGATTGTGGAATACCACAACATACTGCATTTTGGGGATCATCAAGGTGCGAATAGAGAATTTTCTCTGCAAGAGTGAGTGGACGTGCCAGCCTGTATATGAAATATAGACACAAGCGCATCAAACATACCGCTGTTTAACAATGCCGATATTGTGTTCTAATTTGTGGTAGTCCAATTCAACCCGATCAAACTTGCTCATGGTCACTTTCGTACTGACTCGCGGGCGAAACCTTGAAAACTTCACAGAAAAAAGTCTGTTTAGTTGGAGTTATAAGAATTCAACCACAAAAAGCGCAGAAAACCTCGGTCATAGGAAAGGAGGAGTTCCCATAAACAGAATGATTACAAAACACAAAAAAATTAGGCGCTCCCGATCTGACTCAAGCGAAGGCACTCACAGGGCGTGGTATGAACGATTACAGAGACTAATAGGCCATCCATCATTTTAGTGCTGAAAGGAATCCCACCATGTACATAGCTGAGGTCGTTAAAATGAGGCAAACAGTGCTGGGGACAACAAACCTAACACTGAATAGCAAAACCGAACACTTGGTGCAGTCAGTTATGCATCGATGAACTTAGATTCGAACCGTTGATAGCACTCACCAGGTCCGGTGAACTTTAGTCACCCCATTGACTACCTATGAGGCCGAAGACACACGTGGATCTAAAACCACCGGAATTTTCAGCCTCCGCTCGTTTTCCAAATAGTTCCTTGTTTGCGGTATGACATTATCCAGAAACTTACACTAGGCGGTTCCGTTCTGTGCGGACTGTCAGAGTTTATAACAGGTAGAATTTGTAGCGAGTTGGTTTCGGTTCCCACTCACAGAAACAGTAAAAAAATCCAGCTGTGGTGCAATCCGAAAAAAAGTACGAGAGTTGGGGTAAGGCTAAAATTCCGAGACCTAGTCGAGAATAACTGGGAGGCCAAGGTTGGGTTCGAAACCTACTGACCGGAAGTCCCAGTCAGTAGGTTCGAGCCTTAAACAATCAGATACCTCAAACTGATTAAGGCTTCTCGAATGGTTCTGGGGAGATACCCTGATGGGAGAAGGTCTTTATTCTTCCATGTAATCGCCAGACGTGAACGCAAAACAGACGATAGGGAGCGAACCAGTGCAAAATAAACGAAAGAGTTTCTCATTTAGTCGCAGCTAGTTGGCATTCATTAGTGCAATGACGATGACATCCCAGCTCAGTTCACGGATTGAATCATAAACGCCAATCTGTCGTCGAGAGAACCACCAAAAGTGCACAGCGTATATTAAACCCCAAAATCACGGCTCGCGGTCGCGCCGTTATCGGTTGAACTGTTCCTCCAGTCTCCTGCTGCGGTGATTCTGTTGCCTCTTCTGTAGTCAGACAGTACCTCTGCCATCAGCATAGTTGGCGTCGTCCGATATTCCAGTAGAAACCTTTGCAAAATCTCCTCCATCGGCCACTTCCCTATTGACTTCTGAAGCAGTGTGGGTGTCAACGAAGAGTTCCGTCTGGCAGTTCGAATGCGAATGAAACGGCAGCGGACGTACATGAGTTACGCCATACTCCAGACAAAACTCTGCAAATGCCGATGAAGTAAACTAACTGTTTTGTCAGATACAGTAGTTCCTGGCGACTGAGCAGTCCCAGGATTGTAGTGAGCTGTGGGGCTGCTTACTAGAAGAAGTTCCGACCACTTGCTATAAGCGTCGACTAGGACCAAAAGTGTTTACCACCAAATGGATCTGCACAGTCGATGTGCAGACGAAACCAAGGTTCAGTCGGTTGTGGCCACGACCGTAGGTAGGTTCTCACCGGTAACTTAGCTGCTTAACTACACTATAGGTAGGATCTGGAGACGTGTTTGATCTGGGAGTCCATCACAAGTCAAGAGACATAACTGCGAGCAAGGACCTTCATCCCGTTTCTTCAAGGGTGACCTTTATGAAACATTCAGTACAGCTGGCTGTTGTTCCTTTCGAATGTCAAAGCGTTCTGAAAATGAAAGGCACTTGTCGGCTAGTGACGATACGTCACGCCGGTTGAAGTAAGGTCTCGTCTTGGGAACAGCTGCGCAGCTATTAACTGCGGTTGTACTTGATGACCTGTTGCAGCATAGGGTCTTAATCAGAAGACTATGTCGGCAGTCACTGGGAGAGTAGGAACTACTTCCGATACAATGTGGTCCACCTCCGGTTCCAAGTCAATTGTTACGAATACAGTGTCCTCTGGTTGTGGCCTACCTAAATCAGTGAGACATGACAGTGCGTCAGTTTGTCCGAGGTTGGTGGTGGACTGGTAATTGATCCTGAAGTCATACGCGGGAAGCAGAGTGGCCCATCGTTGGAGACGGTTTGTGGTATACACCAAGAGCCTTCTTCGAGTCAAACACAGTAAGCAGTGGCCTATGATCGGTCAATAAAATGAACTGATGGCCACAGGGCATTTAATGGCAAACACGATCGCCAAAGCTTCCTTTGCGACTGTAGCTGCGATCGGCTGGAATCAGTGATCTGGTCGCATATGATATGGTTTTCTCGCTGTCGGAGATTAGAGGCGGAAAGACTGCGTCGATACCATAGAATTATCCGATGTCACAACGATTTCCACTGACGGATCGTTGTGAGTGAGAAGTGAAGCAAGGATTCGACAGAGTCAAAGGTGCGTTGGCATTCTCTTTTTGATGAGTAGCTGGCTCATCGGGCCTTGGAGGGGATGCACGGCAGATAGGAACGAGCTGTAGTGACTGAGGCCGAGTAGGGTCGCTGCGTCTGAGTACTGGCATACGATTGATGGCACCTGTTTTTCGGGTCTGCTCAGCAGCTGCGCCCGCCAATGATGAAACCGAGATATTTTATCGGCCGCATGAAGAAGAAGCATTTGTCTCGGCTTGCTCTGAAGCTTTAATACGACCAAGCACGCAATCAAGATGCTGTCATAACTGATCGGGGTTGGGACACATGAAGATCAAATCGCCTAAATAGGCGGAAACACCGAGAGCATCCTTCAACATTGTATCCAAGATCTGTTGAGATTGGACCGGCACTGTCTTGACACCAAACAGCGGCCGAATACGCTAGAACAGATTGCATTGCGTATTGGTGGTCGAAAGTTCTCGGAGTTCCTCCTCGGCTTTTACCTGGAGGCATGCCTCGGTCGAATCGGTCTTCGCAAAACGCTTGCCTTCATTCAGTTTCACGAACAAGTCGTGTGGAAGAGGCACAGGGTACTGATTGGTATCCAGCGTAGCATTAAGTTCGCACACAAACGGATGGTCCCGTTAGCCTTCTTCACCATGCCAAATAGTTGGCCGGTTGAACAACACCAGCCTTCTGTAGTCGGTCGTCTCTGGTCAACGATGGACAGAGCTGCATACGGTACTGAGCGTTCCGGCCTGAAAACTAGTCTGGCACCAGGGAGAAGGCACAGTCTGGTTTTCGCTTCTGCGCATCGTCCAGACCCGAACGCAGAGCTCTGCAGGTCCTCAAGTGAGTATGTTCGACGACACTTCCGGTTGTTGTGCCTGCGAGGCTGCAAATATAACTAATCGACTTTTACAATAGGTTCGGCTTATCGATCCAATCCGGCTCCATATGATCAAGCATGGGGCATGTGGCTTGGTTTGTCTAGCCATTGGAGGCTATGGAGCAATCAACGTCGTCAGTCAACTTCAACCTAACCCCAGAAGCATTAGTGGTCAAGTGTTCAGTCGGTTTCACGTGCGACTTACTAATTCGTTTCCATGTTCATTCACCAAGCAGCGTGATATCGGAACTCACTAACGAAGTGAGGTGTTGTGGACATGAATTGTCACAAGCTTCTTTCGGCAGGCAAAATCAACTTTGAATATCGTCATCACTGAGTTCGATCGCGATTTGTGAGCTGCATGGTGGTGTGCTCGTGAATGAGCACCTGAGATCGACACAATTCATTTCGGCCACGAAGACTGCCCGTAGAACCGGCAATAACGAACGAAATATCACTCACCAAAACGCCAGCAACTTGTAGGAAAAAATCGTTCAGCTGTAACACCCTTTCGGTGCTTATCTGCATGCCACTCGGAAGAAGCACGAGGGCTGGGATACTGCCAGGTTACCTAGGCCTAGACGGGAGAAGTCGAGGGTCGGATGTCGGGTTCGAACCACGGACCTTCCGGTCAGTAAATTCACGCTCTAACCACTGAACCATCTCCGCCCCCCACCTTGTAGGAGGCTTGCGCTGTTTTCGATCTGGATTCTTCTTGGACTTTATTGGGACGTTAGAGTTGATTGCACGGGCACAGCTGCTTGCAGTAGCAGGTGATTGACCGATCAAGGCCCTATCGTGCCTTAGGCTGCTGAGGCATTGACATTCGGTGGTGAGGCTCTGCAACGTCATATCAACAACCCGTTCAATTCAATGAATCAGCTGCGCTTTGATGTCTGCATCCTGGGCCAACTAGAGACAAGATACAAAAATAAAGCACTTCAACTAGTTCTCTTGACATTCGTGAGGCTCTGCAACGTCATATCAACAACCCGTTCAATTCAATGAATCAGCTGCGCTTTGATGTCTGCATCCTGGGCCAACTAGAGACAAGATACAAAAATAAAGCACTTCAACTAGTTCTCCCTCATTGAGTGGAGCGTGAAACGCTTGCACTTCCGATTGATAACACCGGCAAACGCGATGAAATCTCCATGGTCTTTCTTGATCAGCTTGAGGTATTGGTAAAGGATATTGAACAGTGATCACCGAATATCTAACCCTTTCATGTCGCGGGAGAGCTTTGGGCAAATGGAGTTTCTGTACAGTTCATGCTCCATTCTGCCGACTTTTAACAACAACAATCTGGCTTTCTATCCAATATCTGTCTTGGAAAATCAGTTTTGAGCAAATATTCGTACCACCTGAATCGGGAGACAAAAGTATGATCAGAAAGGGGATCGAATTCAAACTCTGTGATTGGGGTCGCGGCATCACTGGTACTGACTGCTGGTGCCTGAGTCACCGATTCAATGAGCCTCAGTTAGACTTCCTCAAACGCTTTTTTTGCTGTTGGAATAATCCTCGGAGCTGATTACATTGGATAAACACCATGGGTTTCCGTTCGCCAATTGCAATGGGGTAATGTCTCAGCTCAGTCCTAGGTTTGAGTCATCCAAGCCATCGGTTTTCGTCAAAAGAGCCAAGAAAGGTATACAACGTATATCAAACGCCCGAAACCAGGTCACAAACACACGTACAGCCTGTCGTATCTAAAGGGTA